AGCCTGAAAGAAACAGGAACAGATGGCATTTGAAGTCATTGAGATCCCGTATAGCTTCAAGGCATCCTGGTATGCTACATAATAGTACTAGTGTGAAGAGAAGAATATTCTACACAGCTTCCTGGAATGTGTAAGCTGAGTCTGACTTTATATAGCCTGCTCCGAATTAAAATTCCTAAAGTGTGGGTGGGGATACAGCAGGTTTGAGCCAGCAGGTCAGAGAATGTGAGGAATGGATTCCCCCAATTATAGGGGCTCATTATAGTGGAGAGGGCCCAGGTTTTAATAAAATATTTGAAAATTCTGCACATATTAGTGTGAGAGGATATTACTACTGGGGGCAATACTTAATTTTAATTAACTCCCACTGTTATGCAAGGGAGAGAAGTATTTCTTATGTGTGGTAGTGGTGCTAGTTGTAAGCATCTCAGATTTGAGAATGCCTTAGACCTCTGAGACAGAGAGCTGAGGACAGTGAGGAGCAGATCTAGGCAGTGAGGCTTTGCACTCTGTCTCCTTCACTTAACCATAATAATTATGTGACCCAGGGCAAGTGTCTCAGCCTGCCCAAGCCTCACTTTGTTTATCTGTAAAATGGGCCTAATAATACCCCCTCATTCAGCATTTAGTTCATGCCTAATACATATTCAGTACCTAATAAATGGCAGCAATATCATTAATAAACAAATGTGCACAGGGTAGCAGTTTTGCACACCAAGCACACCAAGGAATGTAGGATATTTATGGATGTAGTTTCTCACTGTACCAGGAAACCAACCCTGGGTGGCTATGGTGTGTGTTTTAGAAGATTCTCATATTTTGTACATCAGGAAAAACAGTTCTACATTACTAGCCATTCTCTCTTGGTTCCTGGTATACAAGTTATGTAGTTTGTTTAAATAGAAGTTAAATTCAGGACATTGCCTTGAAAACACTTTCTGATTACATTATTGCATTGATTCAAAGAAAGGGAGGTGCAGAGGCTTGTTGCACACATGTGAAGCACTGGCTTAAACCAGTAGCTCCTCTTGAATGTACTAAGAGAAAATTTTACTTATAAAATTTAGATCCCTTTAAAGCTTAAACAGTCATGTCTTTGATTATAGACTATTATTGCCTGGTAGGTTAAAGAATCTCTCATATGCATAGAGGAAGCATCAATGACATATGAGTACATTTGATTCTACTACATAATGGCCATGCCAGAGAGCCTGCAATCATACCTAGTATAAATGGCCTCTATGGACTCACAACTGTAACCAACAGGAGATGCAAACTGATTCTGAATTACTTTACTATTAAAGTTTCACAGCACTTTTTTGAGCTACTTTAAAAATTAATTAATTTCAAAAGGGATGAGGCAGTAATAGCAAGGTTTCACTAATTATGTTTAAATTAAATATAAGCATTTAAAATAATCATTCTAATATAAGAGTCAGGCAAATAATCATTAAAAGTAGACTTGGTAACTTGAGATTTATCATTTTGAAATCAGTCATGTCTTCTTTTTAATGAGTTCTTTCCTCTATAAATGAAAGACAAAATGTATTTCTCTGAAGTGTTCCCTAGAAGTCAAACTTGTCTTGGGTCAGGCTTGTCAGTTTGATACTGAATCATTGCAAAACAATTCTGCTTCATTATGGTATTCTAGATGCACAACTATAATTACTATTTGTTAAATCATTTCTAACTTGACCTACATTTTAGTCCTATAAATTTCTTAGAAACATCCTAATAACTAGAAAGAGTTTATTACTCACAAAGAAAATAGACTTATTTTGAAAAACAAAAGCTTTATGGAAGATGGAGGACTCTCTGAGGAAGAAAAATTTTAATAACTTTTTTATTTAATTTTTAATTAAAATAATTTATTACAACTTTAAGAACAATGAGGAATAAGACTTTGAATAGCTTAATTTAATAAATTGTAGATATACAAGGTCTGTCTGGAAAAAGTCCAGCCATTGGTAATATAACAAGAACAGTTTGCATGACATCGATGTAACCTGTCAGCCAAGGACAGTGTACTGGAATGCGCATGTGTGAACAATGACTATTTCACTGTACTAGTCAGTGGGGGTGGTAGATGCCATTGAGTGAGCATGTGTACTGTGTGGCTGTCACACAGTACACATGCTCACAAGTCAATTTTGTCACATTCAAAATGACTGAACAAATAGAGCAACGAATCTGTATCAAATTTTGAGTTAAGCTGGAACACTCCTCCACAGAAACTATTCTGATGATCAGAAGGCTGCAGCTATGAGCAACTGGTGATTGGCAGCTCATGCCAATAACGTGCCTGCTCATGCATCATGTCTCATGCAGAGTTTTTTGGCGAAACTTCCAATCACCCAGTGACTCAGCCCCCCTACAGCTCAGATTTGGCACCCTGTGACTTCTGCCTTTTCCTAACACTAAAATCACCTTTGAAAGGGAAGAAATTTCAGACTGTTAATGAGATTCAGGAAAATACAACATGACAGCTGATGACAACTGGGAGAACTGTGTCCCAAGGTGCCTACTTTGAAGGGGACTGAGGCATCATTGTCCTGTGTACAATGTTTGTTGTATTTTGTATCTTCTTCAATAAATGTCTCTATTTTTCATATTATGTGGCTGGATACCTTCCAGACAGACCTCATATACTCCAGACTTTATATTTGTAAGAATACACAAATATATTGATATAATAAAATTTGTATATATGTTTGTATATGTTTTAAAAATAACCACTGGCACCCTGGCCAGGTGGCTTCGTTTGAGCAGCATCCCATATACCAAAAGGCTGCAGGTTTGATTCCCAGTCAGAGTGCGTATGGGAGACAACCTATTGAACCTTTTGATGTTTCTCTCTCATATCAATGTTTCTCTCTCTCTCTACCCCTCTTCCTTTTCTCTCCATCTCTCTATCTAAAATCAATAAATATATCATTGGATGAAGATTTTTTAAAATAATAATAAATAAAAATTTAAAATAACCATTGGCTAATTCTTATATTCGAATGTTACTCGTTTAACATGTACCCTGACACATGGCAGGTGCTTAATAAATATTGGTAAATTAAATGAATAAAAATATTGATAAATTTTATGAAATGTCTTTTAAAAGACTCTCTTTTAAAACCATTACTATATCTTACCTTCTACTTTAAGCTGCTCAACTAAAATAACTAATAAAGCTGAAGTGCTTCTACTTACAGACTTGAAGGTGGTATGTTTTCCTGTAGTCAACTGCTTTTCTGTGTCCTGGAATTAGTACAACTGTTAAGAATCTGAAAGTGAGCAGTGCCTTTCTGGCTAGAATAGGGCAATTTAAAAGGCAAGATAGCTTGTTTTGTTCCTTGTATTAAATACCTACAATTAGTTATTGTCACATTTTTCTTCTGTTGTAAAACTGAACTAATTAAAGGCACTTACCCTTAGGGGATGAATTCTATAATAAACGTTGAGTGTCCTCTTGAGTTTAGCATTTTAATTATTCATAATTATAATGATTTCTGTTTATTTGAGGACTTTAGAAATAATTTTAGTTTATAAAACAAATTCAGGAGCAGAGTAGTTGAGGTTTTGTTTATCTTATGTTGAGGTCAGCAGCCTGTGAACATGCCAAGAAATTCTCACAAGCATTGGAGCCCATTTTCTGGCTTACAGGTGGGCACTGTTGATGTGCCGTGTCCTGATACAACTGAAGGCACTCATTTCTACTTGTTCTCTAGAAGTATTTGGGCAATGTTGGGATTGTAAAGCAAAGAGTTGACAAGGATTCAAGTGGAAAAACTGGAAATAATGCAATACAGTTTGAATCAAAGAAGAGATGCAATAGATTTGATAGCTGGCTATTAACCAAATATATAAATTTTTAAAGTCTTTCCTTTTCTTGAAAGAAGGTGTGTGTGTGTGTGTGTGTGTGTGCGCTGTGCAACTTAAATGTATGTGCACGCAATGGATCCAAGCAAAAGATGGATATTCAAGATGGGTAATGTGGCCATTTTGGGCTAGAATAATTTTTATGTCTACTATATTCAAATATATATTAGTGAGAATAATGTATTGGAACAGGGCTCCTACAATCTATTTAGATGTCATATACATTCTTAATAATAGCCTGAAATAATGAAATCCCACCTTACAAAAAAAATGTCTGGCCCTTGCTGGTGTGTCTCAGTGAATGAGCGCCAGCCCCTGAACCAAAGGGTCACTGGTTCAATTACCAGTCAGGATACATACCTGGATTGCTGGCCAGGTCCCCAGTAGGGGTGCACAAGAGGCAACTACACATTGATGTTTCTCTCCTTCTCTTTCTCCCTCCCTTCCCTTCTGTCTATAAATACATAAACAAATAAATAAATAAATCTTTAAAAAATGTTTGGCATTGCAAATTTGTTTCATTGCAATTTTTTTCATTTTCCCCATGTTTTTCTTTTCTTTTTGTGCCTCTAATAACACTTTAACTTTAGAGCCAGATATGTACTCTGCAGCTAGAGAATTACTCAGGTCACTGGATAATCTATATTCAACTTAGGAAGAAACACAATTGTTTAATATATTCAAGTAATAGCAAAGGTAAAAATAATTGATATGGATAATATCATATGACTATAAAAAGGCCCCTCTGGGAAACACAGTATTCACATTTTTAAGGAGAGTACATCTAACCACTCACACCTAAAAACCTCAGCACAACCAAGGTTCTGCTACAAGAATATTACCTGAAAGACCATGTGGGTAGCACTCAGTTTACACGTCCATCTCTGATGAAAGGGAATTAATAATTATAGAATCTGAGGTCTAACTCAAATGTGAGCTCTTGCTCTTCATCAGCAAATTGTTTAATAAAGAGACTGGAAGTACTATTTTAAAAAAGAAAAGAAATGTTCTGATCATCCACAATATATTTCTCCTTCCCAAAACAAAATTTTAACCACAGCTACTGAGGAGCAGAAGGAAAAAAAAAAACACAGACTGGAAAATCACGTTGACTCTGTCTCTACCTCCAGGTACTAACAAAAGGGAACAAGCCCCAAAGACAGGCCATAAGTGAGGAAAGGCCATGGAACAGCCACCAACCAGATAATCGTCGCTGGAACAATTGGGAAGTGTCTGAATGTAGGTATGTGTATGGAAAATCTTTGTGTGCTTGTGCATGCCGTTACCAACTTTCCCCACTCTCATCCACGCTCTACACCTGCCATCTCATCAGCCTTTTGAAAGCACTTCCTGGTGTGCCCTGGCATCCATGCACATATGCACTCAGCCACTTGGAAACCCCCAATGGCTCACCAACGGGAAGTCCTCCTTATTCTTCTGGGGTTTTAAAACATCCAACAAAACAAGTTTAAACTGCCTCCAGTTCTCTAGTCTTAAGTGTTCCCATATAAAACCCTCCCTCCCTATGGACATAGAGCCGTATTTCCTGAACACAGAAACTCCTTATCTTTGCTGTCTCCACTGTCTGAAATAACTCCCAATTCCTCTTTGCTGGCTTTAGTTCTGGTTTCCCTCCAAGGCCTAAGTCAAATTTCACCTACTCTATAGACCCTTGTTGCTTTCTCCACCCCTATATTTGCTTTTTTCCCAAACTTCTGTAGAATGTGTAGTTATACCCCTTCCCTGACATTTGACAACCTGATTCAAGTATTGCTTTTCCTCTCTTTATGCATATGTCCTGTGTTCACAGTATAGCTGTTTATTTCTGGAAAGGCAGGACCTGCCACATTTTTATATTCCAGGGTGGTAGTAAATGGACATAAAGTGAGCTGCTATGATGAAGTGAGGCAACAAAGGAAAGTGGGAAAAAACACAGGCTCTGGAGCTGGACTGCCTGCGTTTGATTCCCACTCTGCCAATTACTGGCTGTGTGCTCTTGGGAAGGCTTTAAAAAAAATTAAAAAAAACTTCTTAAAAAAACTTTCTGCATCCTAACTTCCACATCTCTAAAAGAAGAATAGTAATCCTGTCCATCTCCTTGAGTTGCTGTAAAGTTTAAATGAGCTAATAAATTTTTAAAAGCTTAGCATAGTCTAATACATATAAAACAGTAAAAAATCATTACCTGGTTATTACTGTATACACAGTAATGTTCCATCTCAATTTTCTCAGTAATGCTATAAAACAGCATCATCCCCATTCTCAAAACAGGAATCCTGTGGTCCTGAGAGGGGATGAATATTACTAGCAAGTGAATAAAATGTATTCAATTAACAAGAAAGAATGAACTATAAAGTTTATGTTTTAAAATCATTTTATTCTATTTGAAATTACTTTGAAGAATTTACCAAGAGCTCTGTTAAACTTGGCAGACCAGCCTTCTTGGAATCTCTTCATTTTCTAGGAAATCATCAAGTCTTATTCTTGTTGCTGCCAAAATTCCTTGGCTGCTGCTGCATCATTTGTGCATCTGTAGCCCTTAGCACTGTGCTGAGATGTAGTAGGTGATTGAGAAATCCTCAGTCAAGTTAAAATCTGTCACTTTCCTGATACATTAAATGCACTCTACCCTCTGCCCACCACTGAATTACAGAGTAACTTTGAAATCCTCTGGAGACCTAAACAAACTACATTTAGGTCAGTATTGCCATGAAGTTTGGAAGAACTAACTTTTCTAATACTTATCTTATTCTAGTGGGTTTTTTTTTAACTTTGCAAACATCATTTCATTTAATCCTCAAAATCCCTGTTGAAGTAGAAATTGTTATCCTTCATTCACAAACAAAAGAGCTAAAATTCAAAAAGTTTAACCAACATATTTAAAAATCACACAAAAAGAATTTCCAGTGCAAGTCTAATGCAAAGAGCAAGAAATGATGAAGCAGGAATGGGGGTAGAGTGAGGCCCAGGTTCAGAGTTGAGAGGCAGATCCTCTTGACAATTACTTCAGGGGACTCACTCGTACCTTATGACCTCCTCATGCCTCAGGTTCCTTATGTCATATGACGTTATTATGAGTATCAAAATATTTTATTTGTAAATGGCTTTGCAATTATCATTGATGCAATAAACATAAACTATAATTTTGGGTTGGGTAAATATAAACACTGAAACAGTCTGAGAAGTCTCCAAAAGGTTTGAAATCCCTAGCAGGTGATGGCGAGAAGAAGGTTGAAGTAGTGAGAGGGAGTGAAGACCAAAGACAAAGCAACACCATGCCTGTAGAGGAATTCTGGGAGCAGATCTAGAAAAAATTCCTCTAGCACCAGTGTCAATCCAAGGCTGTTTAGTTATTTGTTATCCTTATAATGTGTTGTATCATGTTTTATGATGTAGCTATAATGACTGTAATCAGTAAACGAAGGACTGGATATACAGGATAAAACACTGGAAATCAGAATTGTTGCCTACAGACCCCAATACCTTGTATTAAGAATTGTTGTATGGCAAGCTGCTCACTTGAAGGATTAAGAGTAATGCTGTCCTTAGATACATAGTTCTAAACTACACGTGTACCTCCCAGAGCACCCGAAACCCCTATGGACCTCAGTGGGATCCAGACTGCTGCTTCTTGAAACAATCTCTTCAAAAGTTTTCCAAAGAATTAATACCACTTCATTGGTTGCTAATGTCTTGTTTGTTTTGACCTTGTAAATGTTGAAGGGAAGTAGGTGTATTTGATGAGTTAATAAGCATGTGCTTCGCTTGCTCTGATAGTTAAAAATAGCTCAGTCTCATAATACTGTAAGGTGCTTTCCATTTCTTAGCATTTAATTGCATTCCTACTGAATATAGATAATAATTAATCTCAGCCTATGGCCTAATGTATGTATTTGGAGTTTTAAAAGTTTTAATATAAGAATATGCCATATTCTTTCTTTTTCTTTGATTACATGATAAGTTCCAGAAACCACCTGCCAGATGTGTTTTAACCTGAATGAGAACAGGCAACCTAAATGATATTTCATTCAGTATTCAAGAAATCAAAGAGAAATAAGAAGGCACTTTCCTACATGTCTTTTGTCAAAGCTTGCCTAGAGGAGGCCTCTGCTTCCAAGGTGCACTGCTGAGATGGGAGAATCTGTGATCGATTGCTCTATTTCACCTGACCAATTTTAACTGTCAAGTATTTTGAAAAATATACACTATGACAATAACCCATTTAACCTATTTTAATAGCCTCTTTAATATTTTAAGTTTATCATTATTATTAATTATTGAGTTCCTTGAAGGCAGAATGTGTTGAAAAGATAATGATTGATATTATAATACAGCAACAAATGGCCAGTTTAAGGAATATTTTTAGAATGTATTCCTAAGTTATAAGGGTATCTTTTCAACTATGTCACTATACAAATATTATCTATAAGAATTTTTATAATATCAAATTATGTTTTCTGCAAAGTTGTGAAGTAGAATAGAGAAAAATTTTCCTACTTCTATTACTTCAAGTGTATTAGTGAGCATGAGTTCTTCAGTTCATCATAGGACAGTACCTACCTGGGAGAAGACTCTTAAGAGTCGTAAAAGTATCTGCTATTCAGAGTGCCTGTTCCATGCTAGGCCCTTTAAAATGGACATTCTTAGTCTTCGGAGTGACCCTGCAAGGAGATTTTATTTTCCCAAGATGCGGTCCTATACACTTGGGGTTCAGGTAGGTTAAGAAATAGTTTAGTAAACTAGTAAAATGGTAGTGCCACAATTCACACCCAGAACTTTGAGACTCCTGTGTCCATGCTCTTTAACTGTTAGGGAAGCCAGATGCCTCCATAAAGGATGGGAAGTAAGGAGAAAAAAATAAAAAATCCCAAACAAAAATAATAGTAACTGCTACTATCTATTAATGTGCCATGTACTGGGCCACATGCCCTAGGGACTTTATATCCCATATTCTAATATACAGCTCAAAAGAGGTTTCTTCATCTCAGTTTTTCAAATGAATTGAATATTAATCTTCCCATCTGCCCATGAGAAACTTCAGATTCCAAGACATGAAATTACTGACATACGATGGCATACCTGATAAGTAGCAGAACTGAGTTTCCAACTCAGGTCTTGTTGAGTTCCAAAACCCATGTTCTTTCTTAGGAATACTATAAGATAAAGTTTGAGTATATGTCTGATTTATAAAATACAGACTCTGGACTGCTGCAAGTTATCCTTTTTCTCTGAATTTATTCTTCAAGTGATTTCCATTTTGTTTAGAAGTTGTTGAACTTTCTGTTAGTAAGGAACTTTCAGAAAATTAGTACTAATTCAACAAATATGCACCTGTTTGTATTTATTCTATTGGTACTCGAGTTTACATTAAAGTCAGATTTTAACATTATAACTCTCATGTACTCAGCTTATATTTTGTAATCAAGAATTTTACTAAGAACTTAAAAATTAAAATAGATTTATGAAACTCAGGAAAACTGCCTCACATACATAAATTGCCATTCTGAATGCCGCAAGTAACAAACACAACTGAATAGCTTTCATCCTACTCTTACAAGAAGCCTGGAACAGCAGTTTGCATTCATTCATTAAACAAGTGTTACTGATTGCCAGCTACTGCATAACTGTGCCAGGAAGATGGGCAGAGAATAAGACCACGAACACCCCTGACCTCAAACAGCTTTATAAATTAATTAGGGAGAAAAGACATGGAAACCATTAAGCAACAAAAATTGAAGTTAAATAACTTTGCAACAGTGAAATAAATCATGTTTAACTTTTTAAAAAAGAGTGCTACAATGTCGTGGCTGGAGGAGCTGACTACAGGTTAAAGTAGTGAAAAAGGCCTCACAGAACAAGGCAACTGACTAGGCAGAGAGTGCGGACAGCACAGGCCACACAGGCACTGAGGACAGACCTGGCCGGGCAGCAGATGCATTTGTCATCCTGAAGGCTCCTGCAGGGGAAGTGGGAAAGACAAGATTGGAAAAGGAGGTGAACCCAGATAGCCAGCGGCTCTGACTGTAGCTGAAGACTCTAACCTTTGGCCTCCAGGTGATGGGGAGTCATTGAAAATTTTTGAGCAGGGGAATGATATAATTAAAACAGTGCTTTAAAAAAGATAAATTTGGCAGGACTGGGCAGAATGAATTTGCAGGAAGAGCACAGGAGCAAAGAAACTACTGCAGTAATTCAGTTCCAAGGTGAGGAGGTTCTGGGCGGAAGTCACAGTGAGACTAGGAG